CCACAGCCAAAGTGGCAGCACCTCTGGGAAAAAGATTTAACAAAGGGCAAAAAGGCACAAGCAGAGAAGAGGGGGAAAAACCAGAAAGAATAGAGGAACGTGAGGGCCAGAGGAGGGTGGGAGGAGCTGCAGGAGACAGAGCAGAGGTTCCCCTGCTGCCCATGGAGGTTAATGGTGGAGCAGAGATCCGTGCCACAGTCCCCGCAGGACCCCCCGCCAGAGCAGGCAGAGAACCCTGAAGGGGTGCAGCCCACGGAGAGGGCTCACGCTGGAGCAGTGCATGCAGGGGTGCAGCCCCTGGGGGGACTGAGGCTACAGCAAGGGAACTGCGAGGAGGAAAGAGCAGCAGAGAGGAGCTGTCATGGAAGGACCATGTCCACCATTCCCCTGGGCCGCTCGGGGAAGGGCAGAATCTGGAGCAAAGCAGAGCCTGGGAAGGGCTGGGGCAGAAGGTGTTGCTTTATGTTTTTTTTTTTTCCCCTTTGTCTCTCAGTATTCAAATTAATTTATCACCAATTAAAATAAATTTTACACAAGTCGAGTCTGTTTTGCCCATGGTGGTAACTGGTAAGAGATCTCCCTGTATCCCTGTGAACGTTCAAAGTTCAGGAAACCTTATTTTTTCTAACACAAGATTTCTAACAGAAATTGCCTCCCAGGATAAAACTCAGGGAGAGAAACATCTTCTGTATCTTGACGTGTTCTCCCACTAGAATCTGTTCTTGAAACACTTTTTCCTGTGGCCACAAGAAACAGGTTTCTGCTGAGATGCCCAACAGCAGGGATTGCATGGTTTAGATTCGGTCATCCGCAGGCAGATGAAACAAGATGTGCCTGTCAAACTGGGAATCACCCATTCACATCTATTTCTGCGTGTGAAGTTAATCTGCAAAGAGGCAGCAGCAATGCCTTACAGCAAAATTCAGCATGTTTTTAGCAGTTTTACGTACTCCCCCTATTAGGGCTTTGTATAAAGGCATAGTTACCATTACATGGAGGTGCAAGTCCTTGACCAGTGTACGGCTGGTGAGAGTTCGAACGTTGGAAACTGCTGGAGTAGCTGGTAAAGAATCGGGTAACAAGCGTACAGGGTCATTAGGTACAACTTCAACTATAATCTAGCAGAAAAAGGAGGAAGAATAAAACAAAACAAAATTAAATGGAGACTGATATAATTCCCTGCAATTCACCTACACACATAGGTTGCTCAAAAAAACACTGAAGCAAACGCATATGAAAATTACTGACAATCTTGAAATTAATTAGCATGATTATTAAACAGTTCCACTAGGTTGCAAAGCATACAGCTTTGTTACTCCATAAAACTTCTGGTGAGTTATAAAAGCTGCTTGCAAGTGCCAGTGCACTCTGAGGCTACAAAGCACAGCAGCTGCTGCCCCCAGACCCTGCTGCATTACGTGCCCCTGGCTACGCGGAAGCGGCGGCAGATCCAGACCTGGTCGCTGCTGAGGATATTGGCCTTATCCATGGCAAAGGTGAACTGGATGTTGTAAGCGCCCACTCTCTCTGGAATCACTTTATCCCTAAACAAGCAAAACCAGAAACCAAGCACAAGTGAGTCAACACCAAAGCGACAAGTACGTAAGTACAGAAGCAATTCCAGTTTGCAGTTGTCCTCCAGAGCAGCCAGAGCCCTGCTGAGGGCTGAGTGGTGCCTCAGCACTCCTCCACAGCACTCCTCCTCCAGCGAGGAGGAACGCCACGAAAGCTTCTCCAGAACTAGAATGAGGCTGTTGGAAGTCTGGATCAGGGAAGTCTCCTCCAAGTGCTTCTCTCCACCAGCTGACAGGAAGTTTGTCATGGTCCTATTACACAGAAACCTGCAAGTCTACCTCATCTCACTTCCCATTCAATGAACTTTCATAAAGCTACTGAATCAGTGTGTAGAGATGTTTAGATCTGCAACAACAAATAACTCTCTCCAAATTTAATATTTGGCTTGAATTTACAAAAAGCCTGAGGAGCTAACTCCTCCTCATACTCAGAAGTACTCGGAACTTTGGAGGAGATGCCATTAGTGTCTAACCAGGACTCAGACATTTCTCTGAGAGGATGAATTGTGGCACTCTTGAATTGGTTAATTTCATCCGTTTTATCAATAACGTTCTGCAATTTGTTTGCTCTTTGTTTGGGAAGGAGTAAGATGCAGGATTCCCTAGAATGCTTAACTTGTAAACAACAAAATCCCAAAGCTTCACCTGCTTCTAGAACAGGCCATGACTTTTCATTTCGGTACTTCATAAAGAGAAGGAACCATTTCACCCTCTCTTCTGCATTTTATCTAGGTTAAAAGTGAAAGTAGCAGCTGCCTTGTCAGGGTGCACTGAAAAACTTGGGGAGACGGAGCAAGAACATGGCAGTCAGGCACCAGCTTCTGATGAGCTCTAGTTCTGCTGCCTGTCTTCCAAGGCAGCATCTCTGATGAAGAAACCCAAGGAGGGACCACTAAATGGCCAGGGCCGGGGTTCAGGATGAACTCAGTCACAGCAGGTACCAAACCCCAGTTAGGTCTGCCTTGTCCAGCCTGTAAATCTACAGCAGCTGAAGGTAGCACTGACAGGAATTAAGGAATGTCACTAGGAAGAGACAAGCAGATGATATAGTCCCTCCAGCACCAGCACTTCTCATCATGTATACCAACATATTCCCTTAGACTCTTCTTCTGGATTAAACCAATGTCAAATGTACCTAGGGAAGAGTTCAATCCTCATGTTCACAGAATCTTGCTAATATCTTTAATCATTTGGTAGCACCTTATTATACTAATTCTGTAACAGATTGGTATTACCAAAACCCAAACCTCTTGGTTCTATTTCAAACAATGTATTTTGTACACTAAGTGACATCAGTAATTATACACAAATGCTGCAGTACCTGAAGTAGAAGAAGCCATCTTCCTTGTCATCCTTCACTTTACTACAGCTAAACGTTGTAACCTGAGAAAAAGACACAAACAATGTAATGCAATATACTGAAGGTTGAAGTACCTCCCTTGCCATCTGCTGTCAAGCCTGACTGACTTGCAGCACTGATAGCACCTGGTGGTCCAACACCACCATCTGTTGTTTAGGTGCTACTGTCACATTCTTAATTCTCAGAGTCTTTTCTTCACAAAACCCAGAGTGGCAACTTGTAGCAGCCTCCTGGCTGTTGGCCACCTTCTGCAGAGCAGCAGCCGCCTGGCCCTGACTCTGGGCTGGACATCTGAACAGCCTGACAACTTGCAGCAGGACAATACTGATAAACAGCCTGGCTGATTTGTAAAAACATGTTCTGTAAGATCTAGGGTAGGATGTTGATCGAGGTCAGGTGAAGGTAAGTTTCTGCTACAAACACCTTTGTCCTGTGCTGGCACTTTGACAGACATTTTGCAAATGCACTTTGATGACTTACTTCAATTGGTGTCCTAGTTCCACTGCTCTGTGCTTCCCACATCTTCATAGAAATCCGAGCTGGATTGATGTTTTTAATAATGTTATCATCTTCAGAAAGAACACTAACCATAAAATCTGTAGAATGAAAGACAATGATTTTTCAAGATTATTTTTATTCAGAATTAAGAAGCTCAAGCTCTATGGACTTCTGTCTCTCCTTCATACCTAGAGAAAACCACACAAACCCCATATTCCAAACAGAACCAAAACAATGAAGAATTTAAAACCAGCTAAGGAAAACTTTCACTCCCTAGCCCCATAATTAGACCAGTTAACAATCACTAGAAAAAAATTCATCTACTTAATCAAATGACTGCTTTGAAAAAAACCTGAAAAGCAATTCTGATTTCAAGTCTGCCCTTGGTTATTGCAAAGAAGACTTATTTCCTGACTTCTGGAATTAGTCACTACAAGCCTCTTGCTCATGCTCAGGTTTCCTTACAGGAGAAGGCAGAGGTTTCAAATTCTGTTTTGCTTTTAAGAGATGTTTCTCCATGGTCACAACTTGGTTTTCTTTATCTGTTCTCCTTATTGTGAATATTAGTGGGATATAAAACGTGAGACGGGTTTTTCCCTTCTAGGACTCAGCAAAGATCATCCTTTTGTGAGAGAGAACAGCCAGAGAGACTATTCTGCACGGGCCTTGGCACACTTCTGATGGCTTTTTGGTTCCTCTTGGCTCCCAGCTGGCTTCTAACTCCCTAGCTCCCTCCTTTGTTACTGCTCCACAGAAAGTGGAACGAGGGAAAACACGCATGAACTTGCTCAGTTCATCTTCTGGCAAACTCAAACCCTGAAACACTCTGTTTCACTAAGGACAGAGAAGAGATTCTGTAGTTTTACCATTTACAGACAGATAAACCCAATAACCTCGAATAAATAAGAGGCCTTTTGGAATGTTTTCTAAAGAGGATGTACACATCTTTTCTCTCCAAGTGTTACAGAGACATCTCAGATACGGCTGTCACAAAGAACTGAGACAAATAGACAAAAAAGAAGTAAAGAAATAGACCAGAAGAATAATTAAGACAGCTTTTCATAGGTTTACAAGCCCTTGAGTGATTTGCTTCCACCCAGAATACTTTACTCACCAGGGAAGGTGCCTCCTGCTGGAAAAGAAGCATTTTTGTCATATTTAACATTCAAGCAGACTGGTTTCTCAGGATCAGGCAGGACATTTAATGTGATTACAGGACAGTCTAATGTGGCTTTGCTGTGGAAGGCTTTAATCTGTAAAGTGTGCTCACCCCTGAAACACACAGAAATCACAAAATCTGTCAGAAACCATCTCTTCTGAAAAGACAATTATCAGTAGACTTCAGGTTGGAACCATATACACGAAAGCATGATAAAAAAGTATCTAAAAGTCATCAGTGGTACATGGAAGAAAAAAATGTAATTGTTGATGCAAAGGTAGACGAGTAAAGTCACGAGTTTAAGGGTGTTAGCTTATTAAATTAAAATATGATAACTGCTATTCCTCAATCCAGGATGCAGGCATTAGAAATACACCGAGCACCAACAACAGCCTTTAAAATCTATTTTCTTCCAAATGTGAAATGCCATCATGGATCAAACCCTGCAGACACAAATGCAAAAATACTAATGGCCATGAGATCCTCCAGCAGCTGATGAACATGCACTCATTGCCAGCTTGTAAGCTGCCCAAAGCCAGCCCAGTCTCGGCAGACAAGCGCAGGGGCAGAGGGAGCAGGCAGCAGGACTCCAACGTGGGGAGACACAGAAACACTGGCTGCAGAGCCAGGTGGGACATGTGCAGGTGAGGGGAGCAGGGTGACCCGCCCGAGGCAGCAGGAACCACAGCACACACTGCAGATGAGACACTGTTAGTTCTGTCACAAAGAAGGAAAACTACATACATGTATTTAAGACCCTCCTGGGCAGTTTACCCAATCCTTTAAACAACGGCTAGTGCCCAGAGGAAGCAGGGCTTCAGCAAGGTTTTGGCAGCCCTCAAGCCTGCTCCTGCTCTGGAAGCTCTAGCAGCCCCAGCAGCAGCCCCAGCAGCACAGGGCTCAGCTCTGCCCGGTGGCCTCGACTCACCTCGGCGCCTGCACACTAACAACTCCCAGGTTGGCCTGACCCTGCTCGTCGGTCTTACTCTGCTGGTTTGAAGGAACAATCTGTCAAAAAAGCAGATTTTATTCTCTCAGTGACACAGAAGGAACATCAAGCCTCAGAATAAGATGTTTAGCTTGTTTGCCTGCACCCTGCCCTGCCACCCGAGCAGCAGCTTCTCTGCACTTCTGAACTGGGGAGCGACACTGCTGTGAGAGACACACCCCACAGAGCAATGGCAACAAACCTGGTGTTACCCAAGCCCAGGCAACAAGGCCCAGCCTTACCTTCAGGTTGTTACTCTTTGTGAGGCTGACTCTGACGTTGGGCTCAGAGCAGGGGTTCCCCCACTGGTCACACAGCTGGACAATAAGGGGCTTCTGCAGCTCTCTGCCATTGATCACGGTGAGAGGCTGAAGAGACACAAGCACACCACACTGCCTGGTTCTAGGTCCATCAGACATTCATGGCAGGTCAGGAATCCCCCAAGCAACGGTGGCTGCCTTTTCCAGACTCTCTGTCTCTCTTAACAGCTAGACCAGAACAGGTCTGGCAGACTCCAGGAAGGTGTTTCTAGAGGTTTCCTGTCGACATGCTCTGCTTGAACCGAATTGCACGTGCTACGTGTATTGGTGTGACCACAAGGACACACTTCTCAAGAGGCTTATCAAACAGTTTCCTTCCTGTAAAATCACAGAATCCTAGAATGGTTTGGAATGGTTTGGAAGGGACATTAAAGATCCTCTAGTTCCAACCCCCCTCCCATGGGCAGGGACATCTCCCACTAGACCAGGTTGCTCAGAGCCCCATCCAGCCTGGCCTTGAACACCTCCAGTGGTGGAGCATCCACAGCTTCCCTGGGCAACCTGGGCCAGGGTCTCACCCGTGAAAAACTTTCCATCTAATCTCAATCTCTCCTCTTCTAGTTTGGAGCCATTACCCCTCATCTTATTACCCTACAAGGCATTTTAAGAAGTCCCACCCCAGCTTTCTTGTAGGCCCCCTTCAGACACTGGAAGGCCACAATAAATGGCCTCAAACTTCTACCTTCTGATATACCCTGACAGCTTTCTAAAGATTAAAAACACTTTTGATACTCCCTATACTTTTTGTTTCACTTTTTTCTTCAGTAACTTCCTTCTCCACTTTCTCAACATGCCAAACTTTACTCCTGCTCTCTACTCAGAGATCCAATTTTCTTTTACCTGGTTCAAATGTCCTATTTTCCTTTGTGCTGCACTATCATTTCAATAGCCAAAGTAAACATTGAAAAAGATAAAAAGAAATAACCAAAAGAGCAAATAAATGGATGGTGCCAAAAATCTTAATCCTTCTCATTTGATATGTACCGTACTCCCTTCCCCTTTCTGACTGCAAACACTTGTAATCTTCACAAAAATACATCACCTGTAGAAGGGCAAATGGGACAGAATGAACTCTTTAAGAGACATCAGGAAATACAGTGTTGGAAACACAGGTGTAGGAGTTAGGTTAGTCCAAATTAAATTTACTTTCAAAAAACTGATGTTACTGTACGAGAAATGTTTCACACCTACAGTCTCATTTGAAGTACATCTATATAATTAGACAGACTGCAAAGCATTTGATTTTCTTGTGTTATGTTGCTCTATATAGAACAAAAAAGGTCTCTAGAGTTGTCATACTCTGACAATTTTTAGAAGTAAGAAATCAGGGGTTCCAGCTTGGCATCCCGTGCTCCACAAAGCGTTTGCCCTAAAGCCCTGCTGACTGCTGACCCTGTTGGTCTCTCCAAGCCCAGCCTGCCCCTTGCCTTTTCTGGCTCTGGCCAGTCCAGCAGCTGCAGCCTGGCAGGGGCCCCGGGCGTCAGCGTCACCCGCACGAAGTCCAGGAACTCCCTCCAGGCGAAGCACAGCTCCTTGCTGCCCAGCGAGCACGCCCTGAACCGAATGCCCTTCACCCGCATGGTCAGAGTGCTGCCCTGCAGACAGGCAGAGAGGACACGTTATCAGGAACAAAGGGAAGTATAATTCAGTCATTTGCTTCAACACAGCACTTTAATGCTTCTGCCTGCTAGACATCACTTGCTTTTACTACTGTGAAAACTAAACTGCAGCTTCTATTCCTTTTGATCCATTTAAACGGACTTGTTGTGTAAGAAGGGATCAGCTCCCAACTCCAGCACTTCTCCAGAACCCATTTTTCCATGTGCAAGGTTTACTTTGTGATATCCAATGTTATTTCAACAGGTATAGACTGCAGTTTAAATGACAGGTTTTTAACAGGCACTGCTCATTCCTCAGAGCAGGTTCCTATGTCTCTAGTGTTTGAAGCCTCTATCTTCCCACAGCCTACCAACTAGGATTTAATTTGACCACCTTTCCATGGTTTTGGTTCAATTCTGCCTGACATAACTAAGACAACTCCCACACAAAGGTCACAATGAAATAAACTATAAGACATCCCCCAAATACCTGCCAAGATATTTTCAAGCTTGTTTTATCAAGCCCAGGTGCAGAAACTCCCAGGGAATTTATACAGGAGGATGTCACTGTCTGAACCTGATTTCCATACTGATCTGTAATCACCACATCTGTTAAAAAAGAGGAGTACAATCATTATTAAGATGATGACTTCAGCAGCTGCTTTAATGAAACATTATACAACATACAGAATATACATGTGTACAACATACACACAATACAGAGAAAATTTACATGCACATCACCAGTCAGAGTGGCTGAGCTTGGGAGGCACCTCTGGAGGCCACCTGGTCCCACCTCC